AATCGAATGCTTTGACTTTTTAAGTTATTTGGGATTTTGTTTCGATGAAATCTTTAATTTTACGAGTACATTAAAAAATTTAGATTAGCGATGGGGTTGAATGAAAAGTAAATATAGTTCGCATCCAAAAAACGTCATTTCAAATTTTTATTTACTATTATACAGTCAACGCCCATTTTTGTACAGAATATTAATAGGTCTCGTTGCTGGAGAAGCAAGCAATTTCATGAAAATTCAATGGAAATTTGAATTTCAAGTTGATGTATAATGGAAATGTTTGGAAATAGTAAAAATTCAGGCAACTATTCCCTCAATTTCAAAGTCATTTGAAATTCAATTCACTGCCATGTTCGATTTATCCAATGAATTTTAAAGTTCGAGTTATCATTGGAATGAAATCAAATCATAAACAAATTTATTCGACACTAAGAGACAATTTGATTTGAAATTTGGAAATTGACATATTCAGTAGTAAACGAATAATCTGAACTTTCAATCGTTCTCATAGGTAAAAAATCAATCTACTCCACGAGAAATCACTGAAAATTTCAATCTCCATTTGATGATGTCGACTATTTCAAAATTATGAGAATTCAGGTGACTATTGCTCTCAATTCCCAAAATATTTAAAATTCCATTCAACGGGATTTCTCGTTTTTCTGAATTTACTTTACGAATTAACAATTTCATCGTTTTGAAAATTGTCATGTATCTGTCAATCAAACTCCAAAAATTCAAGCAGAGCACATTCACTTTCCATAATTGAATGAAACGACTGAAATCCCTCGGTGAATTAAACTGTTCCTGGCATTTCAATGGTTAATTGCTCAATGATTATCACCAAAAGTCAATAACTCATTTCCCAAACACATCGTTCCTTTTCCACACATGTAAACATCACCCATCAGCAGCTAAAGCTGCCAATTGACAATCAATTTCCCTGTTTTCCGAGCACACATGAAGTATACTTCGTTTCCCCACCCCCCGACAACGGTCGAATGGTTTAATGAAGGCTGTCGTTTGCCAGCAAACAAAACTCGCCTAATTAGTAATCCAATTATTTTGATTGCAGGCAAACATCAAAGAGCTCAATCAGCCCAATTTGAAAAACACTCGGTTGAAAAGTAGAGACAGAATGATTCATTTGTATTCTTTGTTTTCTCGAGAGGTGTCAGAACATCTCGCGCAGTCCAACCAGCGTCGTCCCTGAAATTCTTTCCTTCAGTTAGACGACAATACATGAATATTACTCAGAAAACCCGTGTATTTTTCACTCTGAAGGATAATTCAAAATCAAAGACGGAAATGAAATAAATCTGCGTGAAAAGATTATTTCATTTTTGTCCTGGGGGCTTCACCCCCCATTCCTCGCCCTTATCTCCTCATGATCCATAGAATATAAATATTATCACATAGATATTTGCACAGTAAAAACATCCAGAGTGAATTTCGACTCTGAGTCCACAGACAGTCAAACGGAGTGAAAGTAAGTCCACACCGTTTTTCTGTGTGAATGTACGGGGTTGATTCATTCTGGAGTGAAATACAGCGAGTCGAGTGAACATTGACACTGCCGTGGTATCAATATGAACATATTAATCAACACTGTTCGGTGTGAAAAATAAAAATTAAATTTAGCGGAATATTTAACCCCTCACATCAGAGACAGTAACGCTGAATTTTTTTTACTGTGGAATAAACACTGCTAGAAGAGAATTGAAATTCCATGGATTTAGTAACTATCAAGAGAGTGACGTTTAATTCTATTTCAGACGGAAAACTCGTGAAAGTTTTCAATTTCACTGAACTGTATATTCATGTTTACTGTTTATTCATGGTGGCAATCAAAGCATGAATGTACAGTACTATATTACGTTGAATTCTAGAATATATTTGTTTGAAATTTTCTGATTTTTATTAATTTTGATGGAATTATTGACCTGAAATTTACGGCTTCCATTGATTATTCCATGAAATATCCTTGACGTTTCATAATTTTTATGACCGTTATGACCCGTAAAAATACTTTATTAAAAAGAGGTGAAATATTTTTGATCAGCAATCTATTTCGTTAAGTATATGCTAGACTTACGAATATTTTAAGTTTATCTTAGCTTATGAATGGAAAATACTTATTTATACATAAAATGTATAAAATAATAATACATTTTACGAATACGTAAATTTACACAGTACGTAAATGGTATTATTATTGTTAATAATATTATTAATATTTTATACATTCTATGTATAAATAAGTATTTTTTATTTAGAAAAGCTAAGATAAACTTGAAATATTTCCAAGTTTAGCATAGATTTGGCGAAATATATTGCTGACCAAAAATATTTCACGTATTTTTTAATGGAGGAACATGAAAATTGGGGGACAGTTCTTCGCAAAATCTTGCATTTTCACACCTGGAAAAAGGGACCGATTTTAGTGTTAGATGCTCCTAATTTCGTAAACCTTACAACGTAAATGTTTCGTCGCGAAAATTTTTAAAGATCATTTCTCAAGATTTTTCTCAAATCTAACCATAATAAAAGAGGACATCAATTTCGTTTCAATGAATAAATGAATACATAATTATTAAAAATAATATCCCCTTCCTAACTCTGTTAAAAACAACATATTCGTTCAAAATTTTCCATTCAAACCTCACACCCAACCATAAAAAATTAACATTCAAAATCGAAATTTCAGGGGAGGGGTGGGGGATTAATAACAGTCATTCTGCTACCTCCAAGTGCCCAGAGGGCCATTGAGATCGTCCCACCCAGAATCTCCGCAAAGTCGGAAACAATGTGCCTTGGAGATTACTCTTGTGGTGCAAGTGCTCGGGAAGGGGATGAAAGGGCAATTTAGAGGGAAAGACCTTCGCCAGTAAGCGGAAACGAGTCTGTCCCAGTGTCTAGTGTGGCCCGTGGCGATCGCGGAAACTAGAAGCGTCTGGCGAATGCAACCGGGGGGGGGGATGCTTGGTAGAAACCTCAAGCATTCTGTCTCATTCTCACTTGTAGGGACCCGAAAGTCTGACGCTTCAAATACCTCAGACCGAACTTCCGTTTGAATTTCCAGGGATGCGTTAACCGACCCGAGGAAATTCGCTTCCGACCACGGCGGGGGGGGGGGCACCGGGATTACCATTGTAATTCAATGCTGGATAATTGAATCGCGGATGCAGTTATTCCAGAATCGATGGAATTTTTTTATTATTAATTTTCAATTAATTTCGGGATAAGAAGTGATGAAATGGATTTTTTGGGGTGGATGGTTTGATGATTAAAAATAGTTGAAATATTTATTTGATAAGAAATTATTCATTCAGCGAAATTGAACGTCTTTTTACTCCTTATTTGATTCCAATAAAGAATTATTACATCTTAATAAATTCGTTATGTTGGCCGTCTGAACAATGATTTAATTTCTAACTTATAAAATCTTGATTTGGATGGAGAAACATATGTTCATATTGAGAAAACTATTGATTTGATGTGAAGGAAAATGCGAATAAATATCAAGCTTCATTTCAAAGAAGAAATTGAGCTTTATTTTGAGATCTATGCAAAAGTCATTCATTCCATTCAAGTCAAGTTTATTTTATTGAAATGAACAATCGAGAGAAATAGTTTAATTGAATCGAGTGAGAAGTCACCGAATTTTTAGGTATTCAAGCAGTTTTGTATCCTGAATTGTGGATTGAAAATATTTTTTCGTAATTTATTGAAAAATTAAATATTCCATTCATTTTCTATTCGTGTGATCTAAAAATCAACAAAAAACTTATTTTTTCAGTTCAATTATTCCGTGAAAATTCGCAAAATCAGGAAAATTCAGGAAAAAATTGAAAATGCATGTCATTTTGTTTCTGAATATTCATGCTCCATTGACAATTCAACAAACTTGTGATATTTTCGTCTCACTCCCACCAAAGACTCATAAATTTCCTTGAATTCTACCTAAACCTTGGAATTTCATAATCATGTTTCCCCTAAATCGGATTCAATGTCACTCTCATGAGAATTCCTACCATATTTTCCATGAAATTTTGTAAAATCCCCAACAGTGTAGATCATTTCAAATCCTGAATAACACATCAACTGATTTTTATCTTCATTTTGAAGTCAATTCACCCAAATCAAAACATAGTCATTAAATATTGATGATTCAGTGCGGTCTCCTGGCCCCACATGAATTAAAAAATTACCAATTATCATATTCGCACCCTTAATTTCATACTTCCTTAATAAAAATGGCATTATTTGAACTTTTTCTCCCCCGACAAATTTCAATAGTTTCACACATAAATAAAATTACCCAACAATACACGAGACGAGCGCTCCCTCAAGCGTGGATTCACCCGAGTGTGTTCATACCACTGGGTTGTACTTCCCCCGAATACTCATATGCATCCACAGTGAGGTGAGTGCTCCCCGGAAAACCAGCCCATCCACGAAGGGATGCTCGGACTATCCCTCCTCTCCGCCTAAGTATTATGTCCCTGCTGAAAGCTCTTTCGCGCACGGGCTATAAATTTTCCCAGTGCTTTTCACAGTTTTTCCCTGGTACACTGGGATAAACAGAGATAGAGATAGAAAGGGGATGGAAGAAGTGATATCAAGAGAGAGAGAGAAAGAGAGAGACCCTCAACACCGCGGGGGAGGGCATCAAAGCCAGCAAAGTTTTAACGGGATAAGCCAGAGTGTTTTTTTTCCTCCCTCTTTGTTTCCCCCTCATTCTTCTATTTTCCTGAAACTTGAAAGCGAAAGTGAAGGAAGGAAAAGAATAGCAGGGGCTTTCACGCTGGCAACAGTAAATAAAATATTCATCCAGTATTTCTTCAGAAGCCCTCGTTTTACGATGCACAATTGTGATTCACGAGTTTTCAAACAGTTTCATGTTTTCTTCTTGATAAAAAAGTACATTTATTATCTCTAAAATCGCAGAATAAACAGCCGCATCTCCCGTATTTTATAGTTTTGCTCTCTTGTGTTCACAGTCGCCGGGTGTAATGCCGTTTTACGGTGACACTGGAGCTGGATTTCGACCAGCAGCCGGCTTTGGTAATGCCGTCTGGCATCAGGGAGTTGCTCCAGTGGGTGCTGTTACTGTCGAAGCCACACCGGCTGCATGGCCACCTCAGCAATTTATCCAGCAGATACCACCACCCAATCAGCTCGATGAGCTGAGGTATCATACGCAGTATAGTGCTGCGACGCCCTATCATCCCCAACCAGGTAAGATAATTCATAGACAAGACAGTAGAACTTGTTTTGTCTTTTGAGTACGTGTGGGTCATGGAATATTGGGAAATCAGTTTAGAATTCGGAAAAGAAATCCTACAGAGAAAGGCATTCCTTCAGATTGTAACTCGTAATTCATCCAACCGTTTCTGTTTATCATTATTGAACAACTCCTTGGAGACAATTTACGGTCACACTTAAACAAAAAAAAAACACAACTTCGACCTTAAAAAATTTGAAAATCTCAATTGTTCCAACGTTTCGTGTACTATATGCACACTTATGAAGTTTTAAAGAAAACACATGTTATACTATTTCCCCTATTGTACACAATGAACAAAATTTTTGAGTAATTAACTTAATAAGGTTCAGCTTTTAACATAACACTTGAGTCATTGAAATTGTACCATTTTACCTAAACTTCGTTCTACATGAAATCTAATTAGATTTTGGTGCTGAAAAATCAGATACTTTTATAAGCGTTCAACGGAAATTTGAGTTCTAGTTAGTTGCGATGTAAACGCTCGAAAATTATGGAAATCAGGGATAATAAATTTCAGAATTGAGATTATCATTAGAACTCTCACCTGCGTCGAAAATAAAAAAACGTAAACTTATGAAAAATCAAGTCTCAGATTCAATTAAAACCAATCACAGTTAAAATTAACAAGTAGCTGTTGATGGAATTACAATAAATTGCTAACAATATCTTGATGAACTATCGATTTACGAAAACCCAAAAACAACAAAACCAACAAAACCCCATAAATTAACATCTAAATGAACTAATCTAAACAGTCCCAAATCCCATGGCCCATACCCACTAACCATCACCATGCGAAATAATGGCCTTTATTAACACTCCTCTTATCGTTTTTCGCTCCTAAAAACCTAGAAGACCAAATTCTCATGGTTCCAGTGACCTACCAGCAGCAGGCGTTCATAGCAACGGATCAATCAGCATTTCAGCGTGCTGGTAGTACCGGTCAATATGCAATAACCGGTCAACCATCGCCCTTAGCCCCCGTGGTACCCCAAACAGGTGCCCCACCACCCCAAAGACCCCTAAACGGTCAATTCATGGATCCAGCGGCGACCCCCAACCAAGCGGTTGGCTACGAGCGTCAAGAGTACGTCAACGGATACCAGCAACAGGTAAGGCCCACCCCGGTCCAAAAGCCCCCCAGCAACTAACCAAACCCCAAAAACAAGTCAAAGAGTCACGAGATTTCGTGACGATAATTGAAGGAAAAATCGATGACTTTTAAGTTACAGATCGAATGATCCTCTTTTCAGGATGTAACAATGGCACCTCCGCCCTCAACAACACCAAATAGTCGCAGTAGTTCGGTCCACATGGACACCCAACAACAACAACAATCAAATCAACAGACCCCCCAAAGTAACCAGAGTGACACGCAAGTCAAGGGATTTGCAACGATAGCAACATCAAATGTGTCGGGAAACGAGATGCCTGGGTATCCACTTCAACCGGGCCCACAGAGTTCACACAACTCTAACGGATATCCAGGCTACATTGAAATGGGTCAACAGCCACAACAACAACAACAACAACAACAGCAGCAACAGCAATCAAATCAATGGCAGAGTCAAAGCCAACAACAGCACGTGCCAAGACAGCCAGCTGTGTCTGACGCGAGTCAGGGAGCCCTGTGGTCTGACACAAATTCAAGCGCTAAGATGGGTAACAATGGTATGACATGGTCTGACAATCGAATACAGAAGATGGATCAGAGCATGATTCAGGGGCAGCAGGAAGTGCCGAGACCCCCGAGTCACATGAGTTGGGAGACCGGAAGTATCAAAGAGCCTCAGACACCTCAATCTTGGCAGGACAACGGCGATGGCCAGCAGTTGCAGAGTAGCCAACAGTCCCAGAACTGGCCTCAGCAGAGTCCAAAGATGAGGGAGAATCCCAGACTGACGCCATTGTCGCAACCTCAAGGGCCACAATCTGGCTGGCCTCAGCACTCTCCCAAGCTGCCTGAGCACCCGAGTGCCCCCCAGAACCCCAGGATGACACCGTCGGGCCAGCACAATTGGCCGCAGAGCAGTCCTGAGCTTCAGGGGCAAAACAACAATCATCAAAACCCAAGACTGACACCCTCAGGCCAGCAGCAGAATCAGCAGTGGCAGCAGGGCCAGACGAAGATAGATCAGAATCCTCGATTAACCCCATCGAACCAGATGTCCTGGCCAGATACGCCTACTAGTCAACCGAATTGGTCACCAAATAGTATGAAGAGTGATGGTAGTCAACAGCCTCAGCAGCAGTGGCCAGACTCCCAGCCAAGTCCACGAAGAACTCCTGGGCATCAGCCAGCTGCGTGGAATCAAGACTCCAAAATCGATAACCAAATTAACTGGTCTCCCTCGTCATCGGAGAATCAGTCCTGGGGACAGCAGAGCAGCAAGCAAGACATGCAAAACTCGGGGGAGAGAATCATGTGGCAACAGACTGAAGCCAAAGCGAACGGCTACCAGGAGACAGAACAGGGAAGTCGTACGCCATCTAATCTCCAGAGTCGACTGAGATCGATGATCCTCGATAAACAACAGGCGCAACAGCAGATCCAACAGCAGATAAACCATGGACATCACCAGATGCCTCAGGGTCATCAGCAAAATCCAAACGGTTCTAATGACTTCCCCACTGATGACAGAATACGAGACTCACACGAGGGTAATGATAAAGCCCAGGAGAAGAGACCAGATCAGTATATGAATCAGCCATCGATGATGTCAATCGCCCAAACTAACGAATCAATGACCGGTAATTTTTTATTGCATAGCCACCACCCTCGTGACGATAGTTTGCACGGCGGTGGTGGCTTATGGGAGTGGACAGGAGGCAGTAACAATGTTAATCCTGAAATAATACCCAGTAATGAAGTACCATCAATTCACAACTTTGAGGATTATGACAAGAAGAAGATTGCGTGGGAGAATAATCAGACTGACCACGATAAAGATAACAAGTCGTTTCATGAGAGACTTAGGATAGTACCTGGAGATAAGGACAATCAGATGAAAGGACCAGAGGAGGACAACAGCATGAAGATGAACGAAAAACCCAGTGGAATTGATTTTAATCAGCCAATAAAGCAGGAGTACAATTGCCCAGCTGAGTCATCAGAGTCCCAGGAGTCAGAGAGTCTTCCAAAGACAATAAAAACTGAGCCAGATCAGGAGGACAACGACAGTGATTACAAGTTCAGGGGTGACGGTGGTCCATTGAAATTGTCAACGGAGACTGGATCGTGGTGTTGTCGACGTGGTGGCACTGATCAACCCACCCCGGAGCACCTGCGCGAAGGCTGCTGTCAGGGTCTTCAGACTCAGGACGAAATAATAGCTGATTCACCGTCGAAATCCAACGACGTGAAGAACGAATCGCCGGGCAGTCCAAAAACACCAACAGCCAGTACTAAACTACAAGAACACCTCGACAAACTCAAGAACAATGTCAGGACTGAAGTGCCGGACTGCGACTGCTTTCCAGCTGATAAATGTGAGTTGCCATTGTGTATACAGCACAACACTAACATTGAGAGAACACACTAACCAGTACACTTGATTTAAAAAAAAATACCAAAAATACGAAATCAAATTGTTAGAACAACATGGATGGTGAATTGGAGGCTTGATCGTGGTAGAATTCCCCCAAATCGGCTATTAAAACAAAAATTGAAACAGATAAATCGATAGAATACTCACTACTCATCGGGCTTGTGTAGTTAAAGTTACGAAGTCGATGTTGTAAGTAACATGAGGTTCCCAACCCAATCAAAGGTCCACCGGAGCCTGGCTCGTACTACACTCATCTCGGTGCGGCTGCCAGTCTGCCGGACTTGAGGAATGATCTTGAGAGGAGAACTGGATTGAAAGGAAGTGCCATTAGATTGGAGAAGGTAGTTTATACCGGGAAGGAGGGGAAGACTACGCAGGGATGTCCGATGGCTAAATGGGTAAGTTAGCTGGAAGTTTTTTCAGGAAAACTTAACCGAGGATGTCCAAATACATACTTGCACTTTTTTTATGTATTCGCTTTTAACGGGTAAACAGTTCTCTTTCAAAGTTTCTATTTTGTAGTAATTTGTTTACGAGATAAAATCAAAAAGGTCGTGAACAAATATTCGATAACAAAAAGTCGTTTCAAAACGATTTGAAACGTTAATATTTACCAATTAATATTGTTCATTGAATTTTGAATTTTTTCTGAACATTTTGCAATGATTTCATTATTTAAATTGTAAAAGCTTAGACCAGATTCGTTATTTTACACTGTTAATAACATTACAAAATTCTAAATATCGAAAACAATCAATTTCTCAAAATCCAGAGAATTTGCATAATTTATCTACAATATAGAATGTTGAAAAGAATAATTTGATGATTAAAATTGCGAAAGGACTTGGACATCCTCAACTAACAGAGAAAAAATCCGATCAGTTCCCAGCAAACGTTCCGCATTAACCCCCGTCTATTTCAGATACTTCGACGCTCAGGCCTTCAGGAAAAAATTCTATCAATCGTGAAACACCGTCAGGGTCACAAATGTGCAACAGCCTGGATCGTGGTGGCAATGGTCGCCTGGGAGGGTGTACCAACGCACGAGGCTGATCGAATCTACTCCCTCTTGACTCACAAGCTCAATCGTTTCGGTCTCCCAACAACTCGGAGATGCGGCACAAACGAGCCTCGAACTTGTGCCTGCCAGGGATTGGACCCAGACAGCTGTGGTGCTAGTTACTCATTCGGCTGCTCCTGGTCCATGTACTACAACGGCTGCAAGTACGCTCGTAGCAAGACAGTCAGGAAATTTCGACTGTCCGTTAGAACCGAGGAGCAAGAGGTGGAGGAACGAATGCACGTTTTGGCGACTCTTTTGTCACCCTTGTACCTGAGCTTGGCGCCGGAAGCCTTCAACAATCAAACGCAGTTCGAGCGAGAGGCTAGTGAGTGCAGACTGGGATTCAAACCGGGTAGACCATTCTCGGGAGTGACTGCTTGCATGGATTTCTGTGCCCATTCACATCGAGATCTTCATAATATGAACAACGGTTGCACAGTGGTAAATAATTCTGTTTATCACACGAATGATGTCGTTGTTAAGAATGCCCTGAAGAATTACATTCTTTGCTTTTTTTCCTATAAAAACGATGTTTAATTCTATTTAATTGAGATTCACTGAGAAGTGTTTGATAGAAAGAAACTGAACGGAGGCAACTAAACTGAACATTAGTCATCAATGTTATTCATTCCTTGGAAATTTAATCTGTTTGCTCATGTGAGAACAACTTGTTTCGTTGTAGAACAGAATATTCAATTAGTTGTCTTGAAAGTATCCACGAAATGTTCCAAATTATTAATTTCGAACAAATATCGTGGATCTGTCGTTCTACAGCTACCAAATATCACCACAAAATCTTACATTTGAGTATTTACCGCCTCCAACTCAAGAGAAAAGTAGCGTATCCTTCTGTACATGGAAACTACCGCTAAAAATAGAAAACAAAGGGAAAAGAACACTTCACGTGAGCCGTCAGTTAAGTGTGGACGCATCAAAACATTCAATCTATCCGAAATTTAAATTGATTACTCGGTCTCGGTAAATACTCAAGTGAATCAATCTCAATTCAACTCAAATTGATATCAAACATTTATTCCACGTCATTGTATTCCAAACTTAAAATGACAAGCATCCTTGTTCTTTTTATCAAATAGTGCCTCGAATTATATTTAAAGCAACTAAAGAGTAATAACAAAATCAAACGAAATTCAAATAATAAATGCAATTGAAAATTATATAAATCTTTCAATTCTTTCCAAATTAATAATAAATCAACAATCATCTCGTATTAGTCATAAATTTCCCTGAGTGAGTTCAACAATCCTTAGCTCGGGCGTATAATAAAATGACCAAAAAATGGTCTTAGTATCTTATCATTATAACAAATAATAAATTAACACTCTCCAAATAGTTTCTTCTACGTTACGTTTCATTCCACTGAACTTGAGACATTCCCTTCAAGCCGAACTTTTTGTTTTTCATTCTGAAACAACTCTAAAAATGTAATTTTCAAGAAACCCATCCCATACCAGAACGAATCCTCCCGCAAGAGAATATTTTATTAAAAAACTTCTGTTGTCTGTTACATCGCAGGTTGTCAGTCTCACGAAGCATCGTTCTCTCTCTCGGCCCGAGGACGAGCAACTCCACGTTCTTCCATTATACATAATGGAGGATACTGACGAGTACGGTTCGAAGGATGGACAGCAGGAGAAGATTAAAGCCGGTGCTGTTGAAGTTTTAACGAAGTAAGTTGACCCTCGACTCCCCCATTACCCCCATTCCTCAAAGATCCTGATCTAAATTGAATCAATTCCCACCTCCAGGTATCCATGTGAGGTCCGAGTGAGATCAGTGCCCCTGCAGCCCTGCAGACGTCACGGTAAAAAGCGAAAAGAGGACGAGCCAGATACTGGTATAAGTAAAAAAGAAGTCCTAAAAGCCCCGGATAAACTGATTGAATCACGACCACCAGTGCCAGCAGGACGAGACCCCCAGCTGTCCCTGGAGATGGCGTCGATGTTCGAGGGTATGGACGCCCAACTCCAGAGTTCCCAGGTCTCCTCAACAGTCCTCGACTCGCCAGTCTCGATGTACCAGGGCTGGGGCTACCAGGGCGATCAACAGTGGAGTCGAAACAGCTGGTTGGACCAGCGAAAGAACAACTGGCTGAACCCCTGGGGGGACTACTCATTCGGAGGGCTAGACAGAGACAACAAAGTCGACCCTGACAGCACGAGCTTGGACGACACGAGGCCGCGATCATCAGTTCCTCAAGACGATCACAGACCGAGATCGAGGAATCTCCCTCATTCAACCGTGGAGTCCCCTCGAGGAAGCAACTACAGCAGTTCTCCGAGAGGCCACCCAGTGTCGCCCAGAAGCTCTCACCCCTCGACGCCAGGGGAGCCTTACGCAATGTCCCCCAGGCCTCCAAACGACCTGAACTACAACATCCAATCCCCCCAGAACCGAAACTACCCGACGGACACCAGACAACCCCCAGCCTCTCCGAGATTCCTGTACCCCAACTCTCCAACCCTAGACCAGCACAACCAGTCCCCAAGGGTGATGCAGCATCCACCAGGGCCCCAGGATCAAATTCGCCAGTCCCCAGTGATGCACCAACGACTACCCTCCCCAAAGTCACAATTACCACGCCTCAATTACCCACCAAGACCCCAGTACCAGGATCAATCTCGCAGCGACTACAGTACAACAAATCCCAACCAGTCAGACTCGTTCCACTCGAGCCCCGCAATACCACCAAATACCGATTTTACGATGCAATCTCATCGCCACCATAACCATCAAGATAATCATGGACAATACATCGGTGTCAGTGATGAAAAGAAACAGGATCACCGCAATAGATGTCACATTGACGCAAAACCACCGGTTTACAGTAATTACCCAGTACCATCGGATCAACCAGCTACTAATTACCACGGTAATTGGAATGCACTGAATACCTGGAGTAACCCAGAATGTCCAAAGATTGATCATCCCATGAATCATCAGATGGAGGTGAAAAATCCGAGTGAGCAAAAAAATTGGGATACACCAGCTGATCCCTCGCCCTTTCGCGTCCCAAAGGGACGTCCACCGTCCAGAACAGCGCCAAATCAGAGCCCGTCCGATAATAATTACCAAAATCCCGCGAATAAAACATTCTTAAAGCCTCAAGAACCTAAACAGGACGTCCTTTATTCAGACACTGGTAGAACTGGTTATCAAAATCAGCAAGATAAATTGCGTGATTATCACGACACCAGACAAAATGAGAATCACAACTCGGGATGGGATGACATGAAGCAAGTGCAAGACTTTCACGCCATGTCGGGAATCGGTCATGCGTTTCCCCAGTACGGATATCATCCTAGTTATCCGGTGTTTGATAAGCCTTACGCCAACACGTGGGAGGGATACAATTACCAGGGATACAACTATCAGAATCCTGAGTACCAGCAGTTGTACCAGCAGCCAAAACGAGAGCATTATTCTGGGCCTCAGTATCCTTATCAGGGGGTGCCTTATCAGGGGCTGAACTCGGGATGGCCCAGGTGGGAGGCACCTAGGTGGGACATTTATGGGCATCCCCCGTATTTTCCGGTGCTACCTGAGCCCCCACCCAGGGCAGAGCCCCTCGGGGAAGTTGCCGATTTCTCGGATAACGAGGAGTGCTTCAAGGACCCGCAGATGGGGGGCGTCGCCATTGCCCTCAGTCATGGCAGTGTTCTCTTCGAATGCGCCAAGCACGAGATGCATTGCACAACAGCACTGAAGAAGCCCAACAGACTGAACCCGACGAGGATAAGTCTTGTGTTCTACCAGCACAGGAATCTCAACAGACCTAGGCATGGGTGGGACGAGTGGGAGGAGAAGATGAGGCTGAGGAAGCTGGGGGTCACTCAGCCCTCGACATCCGGGGGTACCAGCACCACACAGACTGTCACAACTCCAACATCAGTGTCTTCGGGGAGTGATAAACCTCCATTGCCGCACATTCCTAATGTTCCGAGCTCACAATTCATGATGAGATCACCTACTTATACAACTATGACCTGGACCACGCTCTTTCCAATGCATCCGTGCATGATCACTGGTCCTTATCAGGAGGGTGGTGCCATAGGATGAGTTCACGATGCTGGTGAACGTACATGTTCAAAGGCCATCGTATCGCTGGACTTGTGTCCTTAATTCGTTATTGAGGGATTATGTCCGTTCAGGGAAATTCGATACCATTCATTTTTTTTTTGTAATAATTGTGAATTGAGACAAATTGCACTGCCATTTTTCTATTCCACTTGGATATCGATGTGAATATGTGAAAATCAAATACGTACATGATACTTCCCATTTTTTATACAGAAAAACAGAAATAGCCAGGTAGTTTTGTAAGGATTGCTGGATTTATGGTGTACAGAAAACTGTATGAAGCAGATTATTTTTTCTCCTGGGGATGGTAACTGGTCTGACGGACATTCTTCTTTGCGCTGTGAGGATTATTAGGGACGGGCTGCCATGTCTTACTGTGCAAAGACTTTGATATGATTAGTTTGTAATGAATCTGAGGGACAAATCTACGAATTTGTTTGACTGTACAATTTCAATTTCTCTAGTGGCTGGCTTTCATTTCATTTTTTTTTTTTTGGTTTTTTTGTTTTTATTTTGTGTATCTCATTAGCTAGTCGACAAACGAGTGACAATTAATGGTAGTTGAGGATACATATCTCACTGTATGCACCACAGACTTTGCTCTTCCCAACATCACAATTTTTTATTATTTTTTCTTTTTGAATTTCATGTAAATTAGCTCCAGATACCTTTTGCTGGGGACAGTAATTGCATTGTGAATTTTTTTTCAGTTTCTTGTTGATTAGTTGTACAGTCACCAGCACAATCGATGACGCACTTTTCCATTATGCGAATGCAAAGGACGAACAAAAAATAATAATGATAGAGGAACACGATTATATGATCTCAAGTTTTAACTGATAAAATGGTAGAGCTATTGACTATTTTAGCGACATTTTGTAAATTTGTGCTTCGTTATATTTTGTATTTATTTTTTAACGCACCATTAATTCATGTCATTTTTTTTATTATTTTTTCGTTTGCACTTAGCGATCGTACTGAGTTGGAGACATTTTACGTAATTAAAGGATTTACTAACCACTCGCCAGAAAGTGGCGTTTGAGTACAAAGCATTTTTTCTTCTAACAATCATTAACAAGACACGAAGACTTTTTAACGTGGTTTTAATTTTCAAATGGAACAATTACGTTCCAGGGGAGTCTGTACCTTTTAGACTTTTTTTAAATGAATTTTTCCCCTGATCCCAGTCCTCTTGATTTACTTGTAAAAACTACTTTAAATTGTGAAATTCAAAATTTCGAAATTTATGAAATTGAAACTATCAAGACATTTTCATTTTAGTCATTGAAACAAATGACCATTTATTTATATTACTGAATTTTGTACATACTAGGTGATGTTTTTGTCATATATTTTCACCCTTAATCTTTCATTCTTCAAATATCTTTTTATTCATTTACAAAAAGGAAAAAAATTGTAATCTTTCTGTCTCATTCATCTCTAGAACCTAGATTATAAAAGAGGATCGATGATGATCCATAAATCGTATAGTTAAACATTAAAAAAAAATCTTATTTATTTATTTGTCGTGACTGTTTTATTACTCAATACGATGTCGATCCTCGAGTGAGCAAATTTAGCATCATTTCTAGACGATTATTGAATCATTTGTAACAATTAGCAGTACACCGTCGTTAGTGATAGTGATAAACGATTAAAAATGGGAAAAAATTAAAAAAAGAAAAGTGAAAAAAAATCATGAAAAATCTTTTGTTGATGCCTCGACGTGCGCGGGATCGAGGTAATGACTAAGAGTGAACAAATAAGATAATTGTGGCTACTCGTCACTCCCCCCTCCCCTCCTCCCCCCTCCCGCCTGGAGTATTATAAGAATCATTAATATATTATCATTCATTAATTATCACATATAATAATTAGTAATATAATCTAATTTAATTGATTATTTATTAATTAAGTTTGACAAAAAAAAAGTGTTATTGTACTACTATTACTGAATACCAATATTATTAAAGAAATTTTAGTGGGGAAAAATAACGATACGAGAACGAATAGTCGATGCACAAATGATGTTAATAATCAAATAAAATATGAGATAATTTTCAATGGCATATTTGTCATCAACAATCATTCTCGCATCCATCCCAAATGAATTCCAAATTCTTCTCTAAGCTAAGTTATCACCAATCTTTCATTTATTTCATTTCATTATAAAATAGAATTGCATAAGGACGGACAGAGATATTCCAATTAAAATACTCGAATCATTTTTTTTTCTTGTTTTCCTTTCTTTTGTAACGGAGGTTTTTTTTCTATGATTATGGATAGCAAAAGATGATACAGTCCATTTTAATAAAGAAAAATAAAATTTATAAGATGTCATTTTGTAATGTCCACGTGTGCTCACTTTTTTTTAAGCTTAAGGATTATTTATTGATAGTTCTTGGTGGTTTATTTCTCTCGGATTTTTAGTGGTGGTTGTTTGGATTTTTTTTTTCTTCATGCTGAGTTTCTGATTTTTTCGTCACCGGGTTTTTGGCAGATCTTGAATGCCCAAGGATTGTGGGAATTTACTTTTTATTCAGAATATTCTAGGTCGACGTGTCGCTGTTCAATCACTTCCACGAGTCTCTGAAGTCTTTTAATGAAATCTTTCCTTTCAGAAATTCATGCGACGATGCCAAAATAGTTCATAAATTATGAAATTAGAAAGTAAATAATTGCAATAATTATACAGAAAGAGGAAGAAAAAAACTATCAAAGCTAAACGACTATTTAAGAGTGAAAAATCATTGAAGAAAATTTAAATACAGTTATCGAGAGTGATGAAAAATTATGAAGTGCGAGGAGTAATGGAAAAATCACATATTTAACAGTTGAGTAGGCGATTAAAGTAGAGAAAAAAAATGGTGACAAAAGTGAGTAAAGAAAGATGAAGTTTATAAATAGAAAATTATTTTTTCTTCCAATGCCAAAAAGATGCCATTTTGTTTTGTACGAAAAAGAAGTGAATGGAGAAAGCGAGAAAAAAAAGTGAGGAAAAATTTTAAGTAGTCTGTAGAGAACGTATGTAAGACATGTAATATGAAGGGAAAAAATCAATGTCTATGTCTCGTGAAACAAAAAATGTCCGCCTTATGGAGAAGCAGATTTTACAATAGTGAAAAAAAAAGTATAAAGAACAATATTTGTAGTTTACAGTAACAGAGTTTGAGAAAAAAAATAAACGAACAGTAATTAAAAATGAAAAAAAGCGGTGTTGCAATTATCCAATTATATTCTCAAGCCTGAAAATGACGAAAACCCAGTGGTTTTTCGGTATTTTCGAACCTTGATGTACGTCCCAGGAATCCCTGTTTGGTGAATTAATGCGCTGTAATTATATATATTCAAGAAATACAGGCGTATACGTATATTTTTTGACACATACTCCGAAAGAAACCCGAGAAACCTCCAGTGTAATTGCGATAAAGTGGATTTATAGTCAGCAGAAGGGAAGTTGTTCAACCAGGAATATTAAAATGGTGAAATGGTGATTCACGATAAGAGTTATAAATTCATCAAAATTTAATAGATTATAGGTAAAAAGTCTTGATTAGAGAGTGAGCCAGTGGTAAATATAACATATGAAAAGTATTTGCTGATTTATAATGACTAAATTTGAACCTGAATCATTCGAATATATCTGTGAAGTGAAATTAACAAGGAAATCATCGATTGAATGCAATTAAGGGACAAGTCTCACTCGTTTAAATAAAATTATGACAATTAGATTGTATCAATTGAGAATCACGTGATGACGTTTATAAAATAAACTATGTATAGTAGATCGACGTATTTCTGGTTGATCCTAAAACAATGACAATTGTGTGTTTGTAGGTGTGTTCGTGGGGTGATTAAAAAATAAATGAAAATTAATTAAATTGAAGTTAATAAGAATCACATGACATAAATTAATGAAGAGGGAATCATTCGACGAGAGGATGGATTACGCCATCGTGTTAAGAAGCGTGAATTATACCGTGTAAGTGATTAATTATATGAGTTAATATAATTGATGTAAGATTATGTTTAGAGGTAAATACATATGTCAGACGTAATTGTGAATATACCATGGGAGATAATAGATGAAAAAGAAACAAAAAAACGGAAATACATGAAACTTTTGTGAATAAAAAATAAAATTGTCTTGTTTATGTTTCATTTTACGTCATTTCTACGTCGTTTGATGATTTCTTAATTTCAAGGCGATTGGAAGAGGAAGATAACGATTATTCCTCAATTAATTCCAAGGTTGAAGGATATATGCAACAAATAATTCAGATGAGAATAAGATTTTCAGATCTCAAATTTCAAATTTGTCTACTAAATTACATGAAAAAATTGATGACAATCGTATAAATAAATAACGGAAATCGCTTAAATATTTCCAAATGTTTAATTTTTGCATGAATTTGATTTCTCGTCAAGTTATGATCATCAACTAATTGGTAATAATTAAAAGCAAAGAACTGAAGACTCGAAAATTAAAAAAAAATATTACTAAAAAAATCAAATTCTTCAGAAATTGCCAATTTTTAATTACTCTCATAATTTTCCTCAAGTAGACTTCATCATTCTTTCTCAGGCGTTGAACATTTTTGCTTTAATAATTGCGGAATGATAGGTAATCTCGGCGAAAATAAAACTTCTGACATTGAATTACAGACTTTAAGAAGCATTAGAATGAGGAAAAGACCAATTTTTCTGCATTCGTTTGAATTTTCCTGTTCCCATTGGAATTGCGTCTTCATACAGAAAATAATGTTTTGACAGCGGCGGTAACATTCCCAAAAAATCCAATTTACGCAAGAATAAATGAACTCCTTGTTTCATCCAATTGTTCCACGTCTTACATAAACAATTCAATGTCTCAAATAAATAATTCCCCCATCTCCCATAATAACCCATGATTACACCTTTAAATCACGAAACAAATTAGCAAAATGCCCGAATATCCAGGTGGCCCGAAAATGAGCAACAAACGTTGATTCACGTGTTGCGTTTATCGAGGTCGTAAACTCATTGCCCGTATTCTGCACACCATGAGCAATGAATTCAGCGCAGAGTGCCTCTTTCCCCTCTCATCGTCGTGGTATCTTCACGCCGAAAGATATTATCTTTCGCGAGAATATCTTGAGCCACCAGACCAAGTGGGCAACCCATGAGCCCCAGTGAGATTGGACTCGGGTGGAATGCCCTTTCAAAATGGCGCAAAAGAATCTGGATCAGTGTCAAGATTCCTCGGGACACGTACGAACACAAACTGATCGGTTTTCGACCGCTGGGTTTCATTGTCAATGTCCACTCGTCATTAATCTCGATGAATAAATTGTAACTAAGAGTCTGGTTGGAGAAAACATAACAGGAAAATTTACGATATCAGATTCGTAGCGCAGAATTATACTAGAAGAGCTAATAAATGTGATTTATTTCAACTTAATTATTCTAGTAATGTGACATCACGTGAAAACAATTCTACGGAGAGAAATGTTTACACTTTTAGACTTTTTTTGCAATTTAAGGAACTGCTGCATGCGAATTTTCAATGTTAAGAATTTGAATTCCAAACACGGAGAGAAATATTCAATAAAAATTACCTATCTTTTCCGTAATTCCGGATCGAAATGTGGTTGTAGGAAATTTTACGGAACTGTCACGGAATTTTTCCAAAGCGTTTCGTAATTTTTATCTGAATCTCCTGTGAAAAATTACGATACCGTCACTTACATTTTCTGAGTCAATTCCATAATCGCTGAGCGAATTGTGAATTCCGTAATTTTTACTGAACATTTCTCTCCGTGAAGATAAGTCAGAAATTTCATGAATGAGTGATCATCAAGGGAATTAATTCCCTTTAAGATGCATTAATAAAGATTCAAATGTTCACCTGATCATTTACCTCCTTTTTGTTGTTCTTATCTTTCAATTTCAATTTTAACAGGAAAATTAACAATTCACCATAACAGGGAGAGGGTTCACCATAACGTGGAGATTGTGACGTAATATATAAGGGGGGGTCCATGTTTGCGACGACTTGCAATTGAGGGGAGAGAAAAGGTCTAAAAAGTTCAAAAAACGTGTGACGTAATATTTGACTTTTCAAAAAATCAACGAAAGAAATATTGAAAAGAAAGAAAATTTGCAAGAGTAATTTTCTAACAGTCTACTAAAACTTATCTCACGGAAGTTGGCAGTGGAATGGAAGTTTCCTTATGGTCGTAGTGTGCGCTAGTGAATTTTGAAGAGGATGGTGGAAACTTGGGCTTCCATGTGTAAGAAGCAAACGATTCTTCGTAATTGTAATTTTTAGCACCACTGAATTTCCCTGAAAAAAGGGAAAAAATCTATCTTTGATCCAACATTTTTTGTTCCTGTTCTGATTAAAAAACTTTATGCTGCGTGGCTTGGCTATTTTTGCTACATTTTAAAAAATATTAGTAGATAATAAGAATGGTAATTGTAAGAGAAATAAAGAATGACTCTTCGTAATTGTAATTTTTACTATCGGTGAATTTTCCGAAGAAAAGGAGAAAAATTTGTCTTTGATCCTACATTTTTGTTCATTTTCAGATTAACAAAATTCATTCTATGTGGCCTGGTTATTTTTATTATATTATAGAAAATAATAGTAAATAATAGTAAATAATAAAAATAATAATTGAAAAAATAATAAAGAACAACTTCTTGTAATTGTAATTTTTTACTGCCACAGAATTTCCCCGGAAAAAAGGGGAATAATCTGTTTTCGATCCAACATTTTTTTGCGTTATCCGATTGAAAAACTTCATTTTATGTGGTCTGGTTACTTTGCTACATTTTCAAAAATAATCGTAAATAACAAAAATGATAGAGGAAAATAAAGAACGACT